CACATGCGCCTGCCTCTCAGAGGACGTGCCTCCTGGGCACCCAAGCGGTGGCCGTGGCAGTTCCTATGCATTTGCTTATTTAAATCATATTCAATAGCTTTAAACCAAAGGCTTTGATAACAGCATGTTGTCAGGAAAACTCTTTCTAAAAGTGAGAAGAGAATTCAAAATTATTGCACAACTTATTCCAAAAACATCAACGTTTGGATGCCACTTGGAAGCTCCTGGAATGCTTGGTTGCCATCAGGCACACCCTGCCTGTGCCACTGATGCCTGACAGGGGCCGTGAATCAGTGACCTTCCAAGGCCCTGTCGGGGGGTAACGCCCTGGAAGGACCTGTCCTCTAGTGCTGGTGCCCTACCCGAGGGAACCTTCCACCCAGGCCCCCGAGGCCCTCTGCCTACCCCCCCAGCCCCCCCACAGGCACGTGCTTGGTACAATGTGAGACCCAAAGGAGTCTTCTCAAGAAGCAGCAGCCTGTGTGCATGTGTGTGCATATGTGTGAGTGTGCATGTGTGTGCATGTGTGAGTGTGTATGTGTGGGTGTATACACATAATGCAACTTCACACATGTTTTGTGCCTCTAACGTGACAAGAGAACACTGTTGTTTGGTTTCTGAGTGGTTATATTCGAATACATTTTGACTGTTCTATCTTTCCCTCTTTTAGCAGACATTGATAATTCTTTAATTTTTTTTTTAGAATATCTGCTTTGTTCTTAAAATCCCGATATAGCTCTTTGGATGCATTTATAAAACAATGTTTTATGTATTCGCTGTCCTATTATGGTTTTCTTCTCTTAGCAATCTCTTGACTAGCCACAAAACTTGCAGTATTAGCATTGTTGGAAGATTGCATTAATTAATTTGCAGTAATTAAATACAGAATTTGATTTTTCTTGACTCTTCTGAAGTTCCTCAACTGCTTTCTCCCTTGCATCACTGACAGGATATTTAGTACTAAATGACACGTGTTTAGTTGTAAAGTGTCTGTACAAATTTGACTTCTTGTTATGCGCCAATTTTTCCTGACAAATAAGATAGGTAAGAAGGCCATTTAAGTTTTGAATAAATGCAAAAGTCTCGGTCCATTCAACTTTAAATTCACGGTTTTCGTCTTCCGTTTTTCTTTGCTTCTTCTTTGTAGCCATCTCAAACAAGGCACCTAAAAAAATGTTTCATTTTATAATAATAAAGCCACCAATACAAAATAATTACAATTCTTAAATTGATGACAAAAATACCTGTAGGATTTGCAGCTGGTTGGAAAAATACAGGTAACTTTATGCTTCAAGTAGGTACTTTTGTCACCTGCGCACTATTTGCGGACGCGACTAGCACTAACAACTGCACAATGAGACTGCTGGCTGACTGGCTCACTCAACTTGTGAATGAATTGCATGCGCCTCCCCCGGGCTGCGTATCCCGCGGCCCACAGGCGGCCCACCTGTGCCTCGTCTCCCGTCGCCCGACCGACTGACACCCCCCCACTTCCGAACCAATAGACTCGCCCAGGCCGAAAACTGACTTCTGTGCATGGGCCAAGAAGTTTCAATCACACTGTACGTGCACGCCCCATGTGGTATTTTGTGGAAGAGCCACACGCAAGAGGACAAAGAGCCGCATGTGGCTCGCGAGCCGTGGTTTGCCAACCACTGCTCTAGGCGAAACATGTCAAACTCGCAGCCAGCGGCCTGCATATAGCCCACAATGAATATTTTTGTGGCCCAGCTAATATAACAGTATGTAAGTAATGTTTTAACAAAAACTTTATAACAATGTTTACAATATCCTGTTACACATAATTATTAATAGCGAACTACAATGTTCGCTAATGACTGATTAGTATAATCATGTTGCGTTCATTTCCCTCACAGGCACACCATTTCTCTCCATTAATACCAGCAGCAAATATTTCAGTAGTGATTGCCATATCATTAGTCTTGTACTGACTTGTTTGGTGTGCGCAACAGGAAATATTTCAGAGAACAAGAAAAATAGGTTTATTTGCATTATGCTTATTAATTTGTGCAGGTATTCAGTATCTGGTAAGTTAATGTTCAAGAAAAAAATATTTTTATTAAAAGGTTCTATTATTTTATGTTAATGATGACTCACTTATTTGTGCAGCTATTCAGTGTCTAGTAAGTTAATGTTCAAGGAAAATATATTTTTATTAAAAGGTTCTATTATTTTATGTTAATGATGACTCATTTATTTCAGCCCTTTGTATTCAGCATGTCTCTATGAAACGTTGTATTCAGCAACGTTTCTATGAAAATGGAAGCTTTTGTTTTTTTGCGGCCCACATAAACTTCAACCTTGTTTATTTGGCCTGTGTTAGCCTTTGAGTTTGACATGCTTCCACTTCAGCCTTCTAATACCTGTCCTTATCCAAAAATACAAAGGTTCCAGAAAAGCTAGAAAAGAAAAAGAATATTTCTAATGCATGTACTTAGTTACTAATGTATATAGCATATGAAGATGTTTCTATTCTGCTTCGTTATGAACAATGAGTTCAATAGTTTGCAAATCTAAAGTAACAATATGGTGGCCTTTATTAGCATTGCAACTGTTTTGAATGGAGTTCTGTGCACATTCCAAAATTCAATCAGTTATTTTTCATATTGATTCTATTTAATATAGCAAAAGCAAATATTATTAGCATGTGGTTAGTGAACAGGTAAACAGGAAAGCTGTTAATATGCAAAGGTGTGTTTAATTTTTACAGTAATTGTAATATATTTTTATAAAGCAACCATATATTTTACTTCTGTAATTACTTAAACTTTGACATAAAGTCTGATATGTCTTTTTATTTTATGACTAGAGGCCTGGTGCACAAAATTTGTGTACTGGGGGGTGGGGGGGGCGTCCCTCAGCCCGGCCTGTACCCTCTTGCAGTCCAGGAGCCATTGGGGGATGTCTGACTGATGGCTTAGCACTGCCTTGGAGGCGGGAAAGGTTCCTGCCACCACCACTGCACTCGCCAGCCTTGATCCCGACTCCTGGTTGAGTGGTGCTCCCCCTGTGGGAGTGCACTGACCACCAGGGGCCTCCCT